AATATTTATAATAAAATGTTATATCATATGATATGTTGATAACTCCTAAACAATAGACAAAAACCTACTGAATATATAAGGATATAATGGTTTTATTCAGTGGTTTTGGGTATTTTGAATGCAAAATGAATACATTTTTTATTCATAAACACAATATTTAGTAATTGAAGCACATTTTAATCAGTATTTTAAAAAGCTATCAGTTTTATTAACTTTCACATTTCAATATCAATGTTGTAATTGATTTCAAATTAAAACTTTAAATAAGTTATCTTAATATAATATAAAGTTAGTTAATATAATATAAACTATTATATTAGTTTTTCTTTTAGAAAACGACAATTGAACCATAATTCTTAAAATTACATAAAACTTACATATTGTACAGTTATAAACTACAGCAACAAATATTTTAATTGTTCACAATTTAATCTCTAAAACAAATACTAAAGTTTCTTAAGTAAATGTATCTTATTTATTTCTAAAGTCAGTGTTTGTTAATCGACAGTAATTTAGTTCAAATTGAGTTAATACTGCCTTTTGGTTATGATTAACATTTGCAATATTGCCAATGTGTTGATCATAACATGCATTTAGTTTAGTTAGTTTTGAAAGGTACATGTAACATGTTTAACGAATATTATTTCAAATGTTTTTAGACATTTTAATTTAATAAACTTGTGGATTACATCAAAACTTATTGTTTTTCCAATTCAAATGGCATGAAAGCAAACAAAAATAATTCTCAGAAATAATAACATTGTCAATTTTCCATAAATGTCAAATAATGCAGTTTTACTCATGAAAATGACTAAATATAAACAATTTAAACTAATATTTGAATTTTTGTTGAAAACAGTTGTCAAACAAGTGGTTACGCGACCAATGGCTCCATTCAATCAATTGGAAAGTAATGTCACTTTAATTAAAAGCAATATTATGACAATATAATTAATAATTGACCATGTTTGTATGATTGACAGAGGAGCATGTTCAAGTTTCAGCACATTCTTATCAACTCTTCAATACGAAGTGATGTACTTTTAAAAGAGCTAAAAGTAAGTCTAGACTTAATTTTGGATTATTTTTTATGTAAAAATAGAAAATTCAAACAAATGTAAACATTTAATGTAAAAGCGAGTCATTCTGACAAAACCATACATATGTCTGTCTTTCAATTCATATAATATTTGATTATATGGTCTAAAAATGATTGGAATTGAGTCCAGATATTGTTTTATAGGATCAAAATTGTGTTCAAATAACACATCATAATAAGTAAAGACTTGACATATATGTGGTAATAAGCCCAAAAATATGTAATATAATATGTGGTAATAACTCGAAAAATATGTAATTATATGTGGTAATAAAATACCTAAATTTTGGATTTTAAATTCAATAAACGCTTTAAAATTTTATATTTAACAAAAACTATGCTAGATAACCACAAATATACTTTATTTTACACAGTTTTCTTAATTGTAATCATCGGAATTAATGTTTCTAAAGTTATTTTAAAAAGTATAAATATAGTATACGTAAACATAAACTAATTTTGCTTATGAATACTATTGGGAATGTTAGTTTAATAGAATAAATTAACATTTAATCCAAAATTATAATTATTTTGTTTTGAATTTTGTAAAACTATTGACAAAATTGTATATTTTCCATGTATTCCATTGATTTCCCCAAAATATGTGAATATATGTGCTAACATTCAAAATATGTAATTATATGTATTTATGTAATAACAAATAGGTCTTAAAATACTCCTTATTATCTGATTCGGATAGATCTTTAAGCTAGAGTGTTATATCTCTTACCAAAAATATATGTAAAAATATGTAAAGTCAAGTCTTTGGTTATAACTTATAAGTAGTATTAAATATAATAAAAATCAAGTTTTATTTAAGACTATGAATAACGAGGAATGGGTGTTATGCCTAACCTTTCAAACTGTTGCCGGCGCTCAATATAACGGCCGTAATAGGTATCCACTCTTTTCTATAGAGATTAATAAATTATAAATTAATTAAATTAAAACAAAACACATATTACACGAGTACTAACCATAATATCCCGTTTATTGCCTCCGTCTGGCACTTCATTAATGCAATACAATATCATAATACAAGTCATATCCATAATTAATGCAAAGAATTTTGTTTCCCTTAAGAGAACATCCATTGAATTCTCGGGTCTATCGGCGAACTCTTTGCCCCAAATTTTCACCAATTCGTCCAAATAGTGGCCCAAAAATGTTTGGATCCACTGATCGTCGGCCAAAGGCAGGTCTTCGCGGATAAAGAAATTGCTGTCTCTCCCGAACTCATTGACAAAGAAACCCAAATCATAGCCGCGATAAAAATGTCGGGAATATTCAAAATCAATTAACACCACATTATTATCACTGTTTTCATTGACTTGATTAGTAACCAATATATTTGCGTTAAATATATCGTTATGTGAGTAAACTATTGGCGATTTCAAGGCATCCAAACATTTGTGTAACCATTCGTTCTCCTCTTTGAAATCATATTTCAACAGATTCTTGGCCTCAATCTCTCGGATCAGTTGATGTAAGTCTGGTATCTCTTTGTGAACGGCATTATAAAATGTATGGAAATGTGTTTTACACCACTCATAATCACGAGCTATCGGAACATTCAATGAATGAAATTTTGCCAATTTTTGAGCAAATTCTTTGACAATCAATGGATTCAAGTAGTCTTCGGGACTCATGTGGTGACCCTTTTAGGCGATAACAAATAAATTAAAATAAGTTTTCTATTAAAATTAATTGCATTATAATTACATTATATGATTACATACATCAATATATTCGCCAACAATGCCTTCGCTGAACATTCCGTACACTTTTGGTCCTAAATTGTGTTCAGAAGTTAATAAATTGATGATAATATCAGTCAATCTCTCGTTGGATTCATTCGGATCTGTAATCCATTTCTTGCCATAAAATCTAATGAACACATCCTTAGGTTCACTGGAGACCACATTT